TTAGCCTTTAAAACACGATGAGTCCTGGCGAATTTAGGGGAAGAGATAAACAGAAAAATTCACAAAGCATTGACTGGGCAAATAATAAGGTAAGGCGTGAACATGAATACTGCTTCAATCTTGCTAATAGTAGTCGCGAAAGGATGTATTGGTTTTTTTTATTCTGAGATCTGAAGAGCATATCAGTACTGAGATTGGGTACCATGCCGACTGTAGTAGAATCTTTGAATCGCACATCGAAAGTTCAACTGTTTACCTTTAAAGTACTCTAATCAAGTTATTGGAAGACACAAAGAACACAGTGTAATGGAAATAAGATAGTGTTGATTGTAGAGTAGAAGCGGTATCGGCTTAAACGTATGCTCATCGGATTGATAGGCGCAGCTTTTACATTTAGTGGACTGACGGTGTTACTTCTTAAGTATTTATAGATGCTGGTGTAAATTAATGACATATTCGTGTATATACAGACACAAGATGACTATATGGAATAAGCAGAAGCCATTTTTTGTTAGGACTCTGCAAGAACTTGACGAAACTTGCCACTTATAAGATTGCCATTATAGGCAAACGGAAGGCAAACTACGTGACGCAAGTTATTGTGCCATGAAAAAATATTATTTTGGCTTCGATGAATAAACTACGTTTGAAACCTCATCCAGTTTCCAAGATTTTATCACTACCTGTTATATCAAGCGAACTTATATAATACGGGATTATATTCCATCACAGTGCCTAAAATCGTCTGTTACACTGCTATCATTACTTTGTAACGTTACCGCCATGACGAACGAACGCATATGCAGTGTGTTAAAAATTCGTTCTCCAACTGCCCCCCTGGCAAGATTTCTACTTTATACTGATTGTTGCGAAGAGTTGTATTGACGGCTAACAAATGAATATCATCTGTTCACAATGATTGTGTAATGTGCACTACATTTAGTGTTATTAGGTTACTTATCACTTTGAATCAGATATCTCAATCTGACGGGCCATGAGTCTCATGGAAAATCTCGAAAACAACATCGTTGATACTTTGATAAGTCAACTGGACTTATAAAGGAGAGGCACAGTTGATACATTCATAATTTGTGATGAAAAATTTTATTAAGATCATCTCCTCAAAATCTTAAACGCAGCAGACCTATCGATAAAATTCTCCTCAGAACGGGAATTGAACATGGAATTTCCATTCTTCGATGTACTACTTACCAGAAGACAAGACTCTACGATCCGAAAATCGATATATCGCAAGCCAACATGAACGGGACAGTTTATCAATTTTCAGAGCTTCGTCTTACTGATCCGAAAGCGAAACCTGGTGCATACATTGTCAAAGGACTCAAACGTTTATTCGAAAGACCCGATAGGGAAGAAATTAAATTTTTTACTTGAAATCCTACTAGAGAACGGGTATCCATCAAGATTCGTAGATAGAATCATGAAAGAAAAGCCGTTGTTGTCAAAAATCACAACTTTTCCTAGGAAAACTCTCTTCATGAACCTGGAATTCAAAAGTGACATTGCAGCGGAAATTCTTGGAAACCGCCTTACTAAAGAAAGTCTGAAGAAGACGTTTTCAACAGCCACTTTAAGAATCACATTCTCTAGCAGACAGTTAATCCAGCTCTATCCTGTAACACCTTGTCATCTCCGGACATCGAGCACCCCACATGAATGCTCCACAGAGTCCCTGAAGATCGTGCAAAGGGACTTCGGATATGCCATCTGTACATAGCTGAAGCATTAGTTATTTGAAATCTGAAACTGGACCTCTGCATTCAAAAGAGAAACATACATTCTCTCGCCCTACCATGACCAGAGTAAAGCTCTTACTACAATTTTGCTTCTTTCCTTCATTATGTAGATTCACTATTATTATTGTTATTAATACTTTTGTGATCATTATTATTCCCATCATCCATATTTTATTACCACTCTGTTACCGTTTATTGATAACATTGCTTTTTCGTACAGATTTTAGATGAAAACACTTTGTCGCCTTTCCACTAGTTCCTGTTCATTCTACACAAGCTTATTGATTGGTCATTATCTCAAACTTATTAGGTCATGCCAACTTCTGTCTCCTTTCAGACTTACAACTAGTCATCCCTTCTTAAACCTTACATTATGTAATGTATTATTCGAGAAAAAGTTTACCGGCATCTGATTGGTCTAAAGGTTCGTTTGTTAATTATAATTACGATTGTACGGCTGATGTGAATGAAGCATCGAGAAGAAAATTTTATTAGCTGTTTACGCCTTTTTCTTATAAATCAGAGTGGGGATATTTCGTTCATATCTCAATCTAAACTTCTTCTGGTAGACGCAGTAAGTCTTCTTGTTCTACTAGCCTACTCAGTGTAATCAACTGAAGATTAATTTAAGGGATAATATTTGATTTTCGCTGTTTACGCACAGTTAATTAATATTAAACTTGAAGCGATAATTGTCGACTACGTGATTGTCTCGCCGTTGAATGAACCCCTCAAATTAGCAGTTCAAATGATCCAGTTGCTTCAAACTGTTAAATATTTGATGTCTGATCATGACATTGATTCTAGGTGCATTAGGCATTTGGTTTGGTTAAAAAGTCGCTTGTACCACTGAGGTCAGTTTAATTTTCGATATTTCTCGGAGTGTACACCTTCGGTTCATCAAACGTTCACTAATATTACAAAATAATGCTATCAAAGCATTTCTGCCAGTGCCCTTCCTCAAACATCTATCTATCCCTCTACCAACAGTCTGCCTGACCAATACGGAATCATCCTCAAAAGTCAGAAAGAAATTCTCTTTAGAGTATATGGACAATAGTTCTGGAATCATTGATAGACTGTCGAACCTTATTGGTGAGACATGGTTTTTTCCATTACATTCTCAGTGGAGCATAGGAATTCAAGCGTGAGCTTTGGAGTTTCGGTAGCAATGGTGTTTATTTCTACAGGATGAGGCTGCTAGCCCCATGCCCAAACGTCCCTCTTTGCCAGTCTTATTACTTGCTTGTGCGTTGGTGGCATAACGGTTGGGACGCTCACCGATCATGCACACGGCCCGGGATTCGTTCCGCAGCAGACGCACTCTCATATCTCGCCAAGTCAGAAATAAAAGGTGGTAAAGAGGAACCCGGCCCTGTAAAAACAAACAACATTGATACGGGAACTTCAAGCTTTTAGTAGGATAGGTTTGATTGAATCATGTATATTACTTTGAAGGATTTCTTGAAAGGCGCTGAATGTCTTGAATTAACCAGATGTTCTGTCACTGAACTGTATACACGCCTTTGGTCTCCTTTTACTAGCCAGGCTGGGTAGTGTTCACCAGCGCGTTTTTCAAGTCGGCGCATGGTACGGCCAACGCACTCAGCTCCAGAAGAGCAAGTAAACTGGTAAATGCACGTTGAGATGGCCTAATGTGACAGCTTATCTTTCGCGTTCTGGCTGAACAGTTTCTTGCAGGAAAACGTCGGTCGTAGGCTCACGGAGAAGTATGTTTTCCTCAGTGATTTGGAGAGACGTTTCCGAAGGATTTCTGCTTCAATGTCACCTTTGAATTCTAGATTAAGCAGAAGTATTTTCTTTGGAGTGGATTAGACTTGTTCGGAAGTCTTCTTGGGTTTGAGATCCTTGTCTATGAACCTGGGCAGGAAACCATTTTCCATCAGGGTCAAAGAACACTTTCCAGCGTGGCTACAGAAAGGAAATGATGGCCATATAAGGAGTGCAATAATCTAACATCTCGTCAACACTCGTCATTCCATCTCAACAAATGCCTCCTTCAAAGTAATCTACAAAGTGAAGAACAACCTTCCAAAAACAGTACGATTCCGTCTTCTTTGCATGACAGAAGCCCTATCCATTCAGTTGGTGGAACCAGAACTATGCATACAAAAGAAAATTATCCGACCACTTCTACTTGCATGGTAACAACTCCGTTGATTTGACCTAACATTTGAATTGAATTTTTGATTTTCCCGTCGATTGATTGTACCGAAGTGCTCGGTCTCAGGTTGACATGTCGGCTTTTGCGTTTGAAACTTTGAGTACTGGGTTAGAGCCTCGGTGGGAACGTCATCACTCACTGAGAAATGCAGGTACATCCAACTGACGAGACCCAAATAGGACGAAATGCGCATCCTGGATTCCACTGCTAGTCACCATCCACCAATTAAATGACCTAACTTTTGTTTGTTTGTTTGATTTGACCTTACTTCTGTTTGTATGCCTATTTTTCCAATGACTTAAAACCCTTGTGTAATTCTGTATATTATTTTGTTTCTATGTACACCCTGAGCACAACTCATTCATCAAACTATTCATGCCATCACGCAACTCTTATTTAACAATCATTTATGACAACTCATCACTTCTGTTACTATCCTCTTATCAACATCCAATTCATCTGAACTTACTAATTGTATTTTCGTTTGACAAATTTAATGTATACACACACACACACACAAATAACCATATATATTAGCGATTGTACAGCTATGAAAATGAATTTGCAGCCGAAAAGAGACTCTTCGCTGAAGATAATGATCTATAGAGATTCCGTGTTTTCCTTTCCAGGTTAAGTGAAACATGTGAGATTCGTCTTGAAGCGTGTTCAAAATAGAATATCTAGCGGCTAATTCACAGGACTTACCAAAACAATCGAAAACGCTTCTCAGCGAATAACACATAAATAGAATAACATATGCGTCAATCGCCTAAAAACATAAAAACAACAACCTCACATATATCCCAGAATGGAAAAGACAAAGAAGGAGGCCTTCGAAACAAGGAAAGGGTTATTAGGCTGAACAGTAGAGGTATAGCGAGGATAATGTCTGCTATCCACAAGTTCACAAATACGACAAGTATAAACATGCATATTCTGAGCTACGATAACGAAATATATCAACAACATTAGCAGCAATGCATTACAAGGAGAGGAGTGCTTCCAGTCATCAACTAACACACCGGCACAATTCTAAATCAGAGAGAAGATGAACCAAAAAAATGACTGACATTTATTGGCGAAATACACAAAACACACAACAACACACCACACATACTCCTTCTTCGTATTCTTCCCATCCTACTGCTTCTTCGAATCCTTCTTCGCTCCAACCTTCTTACCACTCTTCTTCAAATCAGGAAAGTCACAAACACTGGGAAATGGAAGACAGATTTCATAAGAAATATAATTACAAAAATGTGAGCGTATCGACAGACACATTGATTCAAAAATGAAATGCGAAACACAGAGTGGTGTCCTCAACAGATCATGGAGTATACGCCGACATGAGCTCTCCCGGTTGTGATTGTTCTAAGCATGAGGTTCACTGTATCACACACCGCCGAATTATTGAGCGCAATCGAGTGTCACGATTAAAAGAATTTGGAGTCCACTCTCACCGAAAATGATTGATAAAGACGTGTGAAGTGTACGTTTAAGACGTGCCAGTATGACAATCATCCAAGTTCAGAAGAAAAATACAGGCTCAGTAAACCGATGATGGAATCGGAATGCACACAAAGTTAGGAAACATAAATCAACATCAAATAACGCGCAAATGTAGAAACACCAACACTAAGATATTTGTATGTGTCATCTTCAAAACAAAGAAATGAAATAGATGTAAACAAGAAGATATATAGTTCATTATGTGCATATGTGTTTGAACGAGTGAGTGAGTGAGTGAAAACGTACGTGGTGACCTGTCGAGATCCCTTCTTCGCTGACAACTCCTCTGCAGTCGGTTTCGATAAGTCGAATTCGGTGACACAATAACCAGATTTGATTATCACAATTCCCTTGTCCTTCGCTCCAATAGTCAATCCGCTATGCTTGATGCCCCATGATCCTGAAATCACAGAAATTGAGAGAGAGATATATATAGCCAGAGAGAAACGACAGTGAGAATGCAACAAGTCGTGGTAAGCTGATCACTCTGCACTGTACACTTGCACACGCACTCTCGAACGACACAACAACATGTCGTCTGTCCTCTGACTGATGGTCTTCGTGCGCACAAATGCTTCATCCCATCCATGGGCTACTAATTCAAAAGATTCTCAGTTAGCTTCACAGATGAATTCAAGGTGAAATCATAGTGAGAAGATGTGATCAGTGTGCAGTTCAAATTCTCGACGTAATTTTCGATAATCCTATGTTCATCATTCCTTATAAAACTTCTATGAACCATGGTGACTGCAGGGTTTTCCAGGGGGCCATATCACGTGATTCCATCCCCTATATCTGCACCTGTACAATTAGGAAATATGTAATACTCACATGAACACTTTGATCATACACACATAAATTGAACTAACCAACTCAGAAGTGGACAACGAAGAAGAAGAAGAACAACAACAGAAATCCAATCCATCTGACTCACCATCTCCATCAATATGTAGTGGGAGTTTCCAAGATTTCTTCTCAGTCTTCATTTCGACGAGATGTGGTAGGAGGACACAGACCATGACAATGCACAATATCGACAAGTGCGCCATTCTTTGAATCCTAAAAATGCAAATGCATCAAATGGAGAAGCACTCTTCAGTGAAGTCTGGCTGAAATGGCATCACAAATACTGGGTGATTGAAAATGATGAGGATAGCAGTTAATGTCGGTGTGATTGACAAGTGCAGTTACTCACACTTCACATATCTTCCAAAATCGACCATACGAAGTGAGGCATGGTGACATGTGTCGTGATTGACGCGTCTGTGTGAAGGACAACAATGTTATGTACATGAGTGTGTTGAGTGTGTGAAAAGGCGGTGCGGTTGGTGAGATGGATGAAGAATTGAAACATTCGGTATAAGGAGGGTGTGAGAATGAGTAGATACATTGATTTGAGAGAGTTTGAGAGAGAGAGAGAGTTGTGAATGCTGTTGTTTAACTTACTGTTTGTGCTGTGATTAATGTTGATTTTTGTTGTGTTCACTCATGTATATTTATATTAAAATAAATGGGGGTAGAACGTCATACAAAGGGTCTTGTGTGGTGATATGCTGTGTGACATAAATCAAAGTTGTCAATCAGTGGATTGTCACACTCTTGTACATGTGATGATGTCATTTCTTCAATTGGGAGTGATTTACGTTGGTGAAATCTCTGTCAATAACGGAACCCACCGGTATCCGAATGAGATCAATTGTTTTACGTCCTCCTAGAATTGCCTAACCTATTTAGACTGAAAACAAGGAACCTGAACGATATGTGCTAGGATATAACACTCATGCTATCTTTCTGTCATTACCAACTCTAGGGTCATGAGTGTATTATGATAACTGTTCCCTTTTGTTTCTAATTAAAATATCAGGCTTCAGCAGTATGTTTCCACTTTGTTCTACTTCTGCGGTTCTTTTAGGCTGGTCTCACGACTGTTCATATTCTCTCGTCTCGTTGCACATTATTCTGTATGTTACCCCAGAAACAGCTCACTCGTTTATCATTTGGTTTCCAGTGGAGGGCTGGACGCGCGGTGTCACTCAACGGTTTCCTCAGGGTGTGCCTAATCCATCTCCACTTTCTCCAACATATTCGTTGAGCTATCGGTTTCCGGTTGATTTGTTTCCAGAGTTAACGGATTCTAATTCATTTTCGCTAGCCATTTGTTCTTCACTATGGGGCCAGGGAACTATACTGTTAATACGAGTTAGCAGCTGGCTACTGGAAACGTTTTTCGTGACACTTTGAACAAGTGTATGAACAACTTACAAGAAGTAACTGACTTTTAATTTGCGTTGAAATGCGGAATTCCGTTTTTGTGCCGAGTACCGAAGATTTCAAAATTGATTTCAGAGTATTTAAGATGTACCTTGCATTTCCAATTTCAGCTGAATTGTTCATCCATTCCGCTTTTAATTGAAACGATTCTTTCCAGATAATTGAAGGGAGCAACCTCTTTAAATTTTTTTCCATTTGATAGGGATTGTAGGAGGATGTTGTTTGTTTTGGTTGTCTATCTTCATCACCTTTATCTTCTCTATGTTCTCCTGGAATTCTATCTTCTCACTATTGCTTCTTCAGCTAGTTTGGTGTTTTTCGCCTAGAAGTCTTCTAGTTTGTGTGACATGAGACATAAATCATCCATGGAATCCGGATTTTCTAAAGTCTTCTTACTGGCCCAGCGCTCTCATATCTTTTCCCTCTCAGGTAGACTTTCTTCAGATAAATAGGTACTTTTCTTTACTTACAAATGTGTTGCAATTGTTGTTTATTTTTTTGATTACAGCGTTTCCGCTGTAATCTCTAGATTACCTCTCAGGGCTTCTGGTGTAACTCCGGTCCTGCTGGGTTCGCGGACTTCAGTAGCTTGATCGCATTTAGGATTTCTGCTTACGTTGAAGGATCGGTGTCCCTTGGCAGGCAGTTCTATGTGTGCTATTGATGGTGGTATATTTGGACGAGTTGCAGATAACAGATTCAAGAGATTTTTGAAATTATACACATTGTTTTATTTGTCTTTCCATTTTGGTAACTAAGTTCCCTTGACTATCTTTTATAAGTTTCGTCTGTGTTGATCGCTTCCTGGATAGACACCTGGTTATCTGATATATTGTTCTAAGGTCTCTTCTACGTAAGACCTACCTATTCTGCTTCATTTTGCAGCTAGTGCGTTGTAAAACTGTCTCCTGTCTTTCTTAAAGCCGTTGTTTATTTCTGTCTTTATTCTGTACAGTGTACATTGAACTCAGCTTCTCCTTCTCCTATCCATCTTCGCAGAGAGCTTTCGTGTTTTTCTACACAGGTCTTCTCAATAATACGGTGTAGTGTCTTCGAATTCACTCTGATCTGTAGTGACATTAACCCTTGTAGTTTTGTCCTTAAGTTTCTGAATGTTGAATCTGAATTTTTGTCTGTCTCCAGTCGTCCCTTCAACTAGATGATGATCTGATCCCACATCTGCTCACCTTCGCTACTTTGTGACTAGCAGACTGGCTGCTTCTTCACTTCCTTGAGCAGAATTGAGATGACGTCTATCCGCTTTGCGATGTGTCCCTCAGGAGAAATCCATGTCGCTGGCTTTCTGTATATTCCTGTGCTCTTAAAATTTCCCTCTGATCACCAAATAATTTAAAGCGCAGATGTCTGAGAAAAGTTCTCCATCGTAATTTATTTCCTTTTTCCCTCTCTACCCATGATGAATCATCTTCCTGTATTGTCTGCTTCCAGTTTAACATTTATATCGCCCATACGAAATTTGATGTCGCCAGTCGGGATGTTGTCAATTTGTCTTTGTAATAGTCCGTAGAAATCTCTACGGGCGACCGGAGTAGATTACTGATTCTCCAGCTGATGCTTTGGATACTCCACACCCACACCATCTGCTCTCGCAGATTCCAAGCACTTCTAGACCGTATCTTCTCATTTCTTTAGCTAAGTGAGCAGCCTTTGGTGCTTTATTAATTGCACGAACATTCCACATCCCTATTCTATTATTGCTTTTATGAAGAGAGGATGGGTCAACTGGCTGACTGGCTTCTTGAAGGCTTTCATCAACCCTCTTTCACTTCGTCTCTGTGATTGTAAGGACGGATGATTTTCTAGGAAAAGGTCACTAGCCGCACGTCTAGTCCTCCTCGTTTATTCGAGTTTGAGATCGGCAAGGAAACTATCTAGCTACTAAACTAGGCAGGTTTCATCAAGGAGTTAATCCTCTCGAATTTCCAGATCATATTATGTCATTCTTATATATATGTATATATATATATATCGGGAACTGTCAGGGGTTGGAACTCATGGACCAGTGGGTTGAGTGCCAGTAGCTTAGTGATTGCAAGCTCGTAGCTCATGATCAGTCCAGTAACTAATCAAGTCTCTGAGCACCAACACATAATTAGCAACCATCTTGAATATAACTCAACTTCCCACTCAACAACACTTATTTTCTGTTAACTTCAAATTAATTTCTGTGCCACGGAGTTGTCTGTTAACAGTTTCTCTTGCTCTGATTGACTCTACATTTTATTTATATTTAATTGACAGTGACAAGCGATAAAATAATAAAATAAAAAATAAAATAAATAAATTTTGCTTTATTCCAAAAAGAGTACTAACGATACAGCAAAGAATTTCCAGCATTCAGTACAATATTGCATCTAATTTACTCAAAAACGACAAAAAAATTAAAAATACACATTACATAATAGTAATAAAACGACTGTTATGGCAGCTACATAACAAAATACTGTATGTCATACGGAGAAAAATATGCATAAAGTACAAAATTGTAGTAATAATAGTAATACCAACTAAAATAAAATAACAGAGTAACAATTAAACGATAGAAAGTGTGACACCATAATATACAGAAAGATGAACGATGAAAGGGTCGATTCACTGTGCTAATTACATAGTAACTTGTAAGTTTCACGTCTAAAAGAGTCTTCGTCACATAAAGTACGGGCTGAATAGGGTGTTGTAGAATTTCTATACTTAGTGGTACGAGCATATAACTTTTTATATTGACTTCTCGTCCTACCTGATGAGATACAAGGGGACAGGTGTGAATAAAGGGGGTGCAGAGGTTCTGACATTATAGCCTGTGCCCATTTTGTACAGGAATTGATATGCCTCTCGACTATAGTATTAGCGATCTCATGGAGTGGCAGACCACAAGCTCTACTCACAGCATTTAATACTTTTCGTAATATGATATAATCTTTTTTGAGAAGCCCAGGAAAGATTAATGGAGAGCAATAGAGTACAATAGGTAAAATACAGGAGTTTAAAAATTGCAAAACTAAAGGTTGGTTAATACCTTGCTATCTTAACTTTTTAGTGTAGAAGGTAAGACGAAACATTTTCTTAGAGATAGATAAGATATGGGATGACCATGAAAGGTCAGAGGAAAGAACTAATTCAAGGTATTTAATGCTTGATTTAGTTTCAATTTCAGCTCCATCCATGCTACAGGGATCATGCGAACTAACTAGTTCATGTAAGTCACATCGATGCTTGAAAGTAAACTACCTGATATTTGGAGGGATTTAACAGGATACCATTAAACATAGACCACTTGATATTGTTCAACAGAAAGCTATTAAGTTTGGAGAAGTTAGACTTGGAAGTGATAGGCAGTGATACAGTCATATCATCTGCATATTTGACAAAGTTAGTTTCGTTTGAATGAGGCAGGTCATGTAGGAAGAAAGAAAAAAGAAAAGGAGAGAGGACAGCACCTTGTGGAACACCGGATTTTGTAAGCGAGGTAGAAGAAGATTTGCTATTACATACAGTATACTGCATTCTATCAGAAAATAGTAATGTAACCAACTATTTGCCCAGGATCCTGTTTGTGTCAACGATAGCTTATTTAGCAAAATGCCCCTAGGTACAGAGTCAAAAGCAGATGTGTAGTCTAAGAAAGCACTACGAACATATTTAGCAACTTTATCTAAACAAGAGACAACATTGTGATATAAGACGACCGCAGCATCCAAGGTACTTCTACCATGTTTGTATGCGAATTGTTTAGGATCATTAAAAGGTTTCAAAGCGGGTTCAAGACGAAGTAAAAGTAATTTTTCCATCAATTTTAAAAAAGGGGAAGTAATTGCAATAGGCCGAAATTTAATGTCAGAACCAGAAGATGGTTTTGGTATGGGGATAATTTTAATGTTTTTCTATCATTCAATCTAAAACAAATACCTGAAGACAAATTCTGATATAATTTCACTTGCTTTTATTAGTTCTTTGTGTCATACTTTTTCATAGGTTTGTCATACTTTAGAAGAACAAGTTATCGGGAACAGTTGTGTTCTCAAATACCTTCTTGTACTGATGACAGTTTAGGAAAAGTTCATTTTACGTAGAGAGTGATAGGAAACCAATTCGATGTCCAAGTGTGCGGGTTAATGTGACAGCGATGAAAATTAAAACACGACAAGCGGTTGGTTAGATAAAGAACAGGAACACTCAGGTATTATTTAAACGAGATCTTAACACTATAGCTGAGGTAGGTCTCAAAACCAGATCTCATTCGGATACCGGTGGGTTCCGTTATTGACAGAGATTTCACCAACGTAAATCACTCCCAATTGAAGAAATGACATCATCACATGTACAAGAGT